TTTTTTTTTCAGTTAAAATGTCAGCAGTGAAATGAATAATTCTCAGGTCTTTTGCCTTCCCTTCATTAAATGGTTTGCAACTGGGTGTGGCTATTTGTGAAAATAACCAAAGCTAACCACATAGCCAGGAAATTGCATTATTCAGCTCAAGGTTACCACAAGAGGAAAGAGGAACTTAATCTCTAGAGCAATAGGAATCATCCACAGTAGCCAAAAGTCATGTGGCATTTAGAAGAGAAAGGGGTCAGAAATGAGAAATGATGACAGTCTAACAAATATGGTGTGATAACAAACAAAAAGTTATAGAATTTGTCCACAGATATTTTTTTGGTTGTCTTTTCTCAGGTTTTGTTAATTTTTTTCTTGCACAATAAGTACCCATCATGATTTTTGCTTTGTAAGACCCCATTCTCATAAAGACAACATCGGTCTATGTGGATCAACCCAACTCTGCGTGAACTCATGCTAAGTGCAATTAGCTTAATTGAGTGACATGTCTCCTTTTGTTTCCAATATACTTGTATAACCACCAGCTTGTCTGTGTTCCACCTAAAGGGATAAAAACTCTTCGTTTTGGCCAAAAAATGAATTTCCTGGAGTAAACAACAATTTTCCCACACTTACCAATGGTTAATGAATCCATTTTTACACTCAAAGTTAGTCCCTGTTTTTTTCTAAAAAGTTTGGTTTTTTGTTAAAATCTCTTAAGATATTATAACAGAGTATAGCCATCAATGGAGGTCACGTGATCTGAAGACAAGCTCGGATATCAGAATAATAGCTATAACTGCTGTTTTTGTCGTAAAACAGAATATATTGTATTTCTACGAGTTATTCACAATGTTTTTATTGTGAAATATAGATCTCATACGAAGAGTTATTATCCCTTTAATGCCAGGAGGAGACTTGTTCATCTGTTAATTTGAATGCACTCAGTGAGAAACCCTGCAGATCTATGTAGACCTAAAGAGTTTATGGGAATGCACCTTATGCCAACATTCTCAGCACATGGAGTTCCATCCTTGTTCCCAAAGGGTTAGTCTCACTTCACGTGGATTTTCACATATTTAGTAGTCTTATGTGACATCACGCAGCACTAACAGTCTCATGATTCCCATTAATATGTGATGATGAAGTTAATTAACATAACTCATCCCTTATATGGTCCATTGCACCTCTGTAATATCCTGTTTGGCAGCTATCATATAAAGCATATATTCAATAGATTTTGCTCCAGTTTAGCCTTCAGACTTCATAGATGTCATAGTTGATGTTGACATTAATTATAGTTTACTTCTATTATTTTATACAATAAAGCCCCTTCATTTTATTTCCACAGGTGATATATCAGTTAGTACCTCATTTTGCCACAGTGGCAGCACAGTACAGTGACACCTCCATAATATACTAGTGAACAGTGCGACTATCATTTGGGAAGCTATTTTGAGGGGACTTGTTCAAATTCAGATTGACACAGAAAGATTTTTATTGTATGAAAAATGACATGCAAGTTAAACATGCACATTTGGGGGTGGCCAGCTCCTGCCAAAGTGAAAATACTGGTATTTCTTAGCAAGACAAGAGGATTTAGGCTGGTTTCCTGTTGGTTGTACACTTGTACATTATATCAGCATTCCTGGCTGAAAATTCTCAATGAGACAGTTGAAAAAATAGATTCTGTGTGTTAAGTCTTCTCTTTCTCCCACTGCTTAGATGACCGTTTTTTTTTTTTGTTTTTTTTTTCTTTTGCCAGTGTCTCACTTTGCTCAGGGTGAAAGAATCTGTGTAAGAAGATGATGTTTCGATCTGAGTATGCAGAAATATGATTAATGAGAGCCTTTGGCAACAGACAGTTTGGTTAATGGATAACTTCCAATTCAATATTAAGGCAAACCAAGTTGTAAAGGCTGGATTAAGCTATGATGGACACAGTACTAGGTTAGGGATGTTTGTAAAATGGGTGAACTGGACCCCATAACTTGAAAGCATCGCGCATTGCGACCGAGCACAAGGGTCTCGATTCCATAACTTGCCCATACTCGCCCCATATAATGCATTATAGCCCCTATGTGATATCACTATTCACAATATGCGATTCTTTTGAGTTACGGAGCCCTGGTCACATATCTGTTGAATCGTGTACCATGTTAAACCCATGCTCTAAGTAAGGCACATTTGAAACTTATTTAAATTGTTTGCATTTAATTAGTTATTATTTACTGTTGGTCTCTGTTGAAAAAAAATTAATTTAAGCATAAAGTGGGTTTAAGAATCACTGTTGAAAATGGCTACCTTTCTTGTCTCTGCATCATCTTGCGGTGTCATTTTAGTGCACATCTTAAACACCTAGTTTCAAGACAGTAAATAAGAAATAGATACGCTGTATTAGTTTCCAGTTAAGAACCCCTGAAGAAGGCTTTCAAGTGTTTCATGGAAAGCTGACATCAGTGGTGGTTAGCAGAGATTTTCTCAGATTAGAAGTGATCTGTTGCTGTGAAAGGATAGAACAGTTAATCTTCATACATTATGGATGGTAAATAAGTGTGACCCTGATCAATACATCTCACATAATGCCACCTTTTCAGTTGGTACAAAAACTCGACTTTTTGTGGTACTTTAATTGGCAGTAATGATAACATTTATATGGCAGTGAGATTTTTTTTAGTGGGTTTTTATGCAGATGATGGAGGTAGAGACACATTTGGCTCTTGTCCAGCTAAATCTGTAGCAATTTTTATTGGTATAAATGCCATTTATGGGACAAAATAACAGGTGTAGTTTATTTTAGACAGTCTCTAACACTTTGATCCACTTACCTTCTTTTTCTTCTCGTCTTCTATTTTCTTAAACCATCCTTCAGTATAAGCCTATCTCTGAGCTAGAATGACAAATATGAAGAAAAAAAATAAAGTAGGTCCAGTAATTTTCCAAGTTCTCCCAAAGGACAGGAACTTAAGAAGAAGTTTATCATTGCCTCAAGTTGAATTCATATTGAATACTCACATTGCTCCTGTGACTGACTGCATCTCATTGTGTGTGTGTGTGTATTTGTGTGTGCTGCTCTCTGTACTGGATACACTTGTGGAATGTGAAATGCAATATGTAGCTCTCTCTCTTCCCTGTGACCCTGTTTTAAGTTATTCTTCACAGCAGGGTGGGCCAGTTACCCTGGCATCGGAATGTAAGCGTAAAGATCACACGCATATTTCAGATGTGGCCCATGTGACTTTGTCTAGCCAATAGGACCCGGGGTAAATTGCTCTTTAATTTAGTGACCTGAGCCAAGAGAGCAGCAAATTTAGGGCAACTCCAACTTGGACCAAGAACAGAATTAGTTAAAAGGAAAGTGTTGTGTGCATTCCTGTATTCTGTGAGATTCTGCAAACAAACAGTATTTAAAGAAGACATGAGATTCTGGAAGAGAAAAAGAAAGAACAGGTTGAAGGAAGTGAAGGAGGGTGAGGGTAAGTGTGGATACAATCAGGGAGCATGATTCCCTGCTCTGGTGACTGGTGGTCTGGTTTGTTGCAGCCCAGATTGGGGAAAACTGAACGCATTAGTATGCCAAGATGTATGGCTATGTGGCCAGAAAGTATGGCAGCGTGACAGATGTGAGTTTTGATTAAGGCGCAAGTACATGGCTGCTTTCTTTTAATGCCAGTAGTGCATAAGGAATTTCCTCTCACTCAGTCGGATGACTTGATGACAAGAGGGTCACAGATGTACATGCGTCTCTTTATTATGAATTTGTTTGAAGCAAAATATAAAGGCCTATATCTTACTGCTAAAGCAATGTGGAACATTGCATTACTTTTAATTTAAATTGTCAAAAATTAGTTTTGAAGCATATATTTTGTCTAGTACTAGGTGTCCAAATACTGGCACATCTTTTAAATTCAAGTCAGGAAGAGTAGGAGGCATTGATTCTTTAAATTCTTTGTATTGAAAGCCTTGCTCTGTTATGAGCAGGAAAAATAGTTATGTGATGGCGTATGTTCTTTAGGATATGCTGATTATAGAATTTGACATGAAGCAGATGAAAATTCCAAATGTGTAGAGGTGTGCTTAATGGTGCCTTGTTTTTAAATCTTTGATTTATACCTCTGCTTCATGGTTGTCACAGTCGGTTCAAATGAAGCTTTGTTTCCAGTGTGGATACTTTCTTCTAACATGCTACTGTATACAGTTTCCCATTTCAATTCAGTTTCATGTTTTTTTTTTTACTCTATGACAAAGAAACAGGTCATCTTACAAATACATTACAATTAAAATCCTTTGATAATTACTTATTTCTAGTCAAATGAAATAGAAAAAAAATTATCCGCGTACAGTAAATTCTAAGTTGTATGTCAGTGGCAGTGATTTAGAATTCCATACAGAAGCTGGCTTAATGACATGAGTGCATGATGAAGTGTATCATTTCTTCCTGGACTAGGACAATTTACTTCATATGATGACCATTACACATTCTTGAGACTGAGTTGGGTTTGTATTCACAAGGATACTTTGAATGACATATTTGTAAATCGGATCAGGTAAATACAGTAAGAAGGTTATGGCCAGGATATGTAACTGACTTGAAACATGATAAGATTTTGAAAGTAGAATTCAGGGTTTTCTGTTCAGGTATACGTAGCTATTGCCCCAGATGTAATTGTAAATGAAAATTAGCTCACTTATAACTGAATTCTACTTTTTATGTATAGACACAGATTGCCTTTGCCTATGTCTGTCGACATCATCGTCACAGTGCATTTTCATTGTTATACAAATAAAATGAAAATTTTTTTACCTTTTGTATTCAAACTTACAGAACTGATGAATATTGATGAAATACAGGTCAATCCAAGGTCGAAAATCAGCCTGATCAGACCATTTATCCAAAAGTTATGCTGTTTTTTTTCCAGCATATTTTATCCAGCATTATACAAATAAAATGTAAACCATGTCATATTTTGCTTTGAAACTTGCAGCACTTATTCAAAGGTCTAATATATAGATCAAGTTCAAAAATTAGTTTGATTAGTTTATTTTTGTTGAAGTTTTATGCATCATTATTTTCTGCTTTTTGTCTGTACACATGACAGCTCTGCTGCCTTGTTTATTTTTTATTTCATTTCTGTGTGTGTTGTAATAAAGCAGAACCAGTGAGCCATCTCTGTTTTTGATCAGTCTGTCAACCTAAACTATTTCTTTCAATGGACATTTATTTCCTGTAGTCAATTACCCTGGAGGCGTATTTTCAACTATGTGTGACAGTATCTTGATGCATATTGATTTCTAGACTGTGGTATTTTCATGGGCCTATTATGAAATACTTTTTCCTCAAACTATCCCCTATAAAGAGAATATATTTTCATATGCAGTAAAGTTGTTGGTCATTAGATGAAATGGCAACTCCTACAGTTGTTGTTAATGCACACAGAATTTCATCCACAGTTTTCAAGTCAAGTACACCGAAATTTAACAGACTTCAAGTTTTAAAGGATAGTGACCTAGTAAAACTGAAATTGACCAGCAACTGTGCAGCAAATCATAGAGGGATTTGAAAAACAGACCATGTTTAAACATGATTATTAGATTACAATATACATTAGGATGTTTGAATCTGCATTATAGGACATATAACAGAGACCAATAATGTTCAAGCAAACCATGTACAAATTTGAAAAACAAACTATTTTCATGTAAACATGTTTATAGACAGTAGGGTGTCAAAATCTGCAGTATAAGACAAATAACTGAGACCAAAAATCTGCAGTATAAGACAAATAACAGAGACCAAAAATGTTAATGAACTTTACAATACAGGTTACTAGTAAGCCCTTTAATGTATGTCTTTTTTTTGAATGAGTCATTTTATTTTTGGGGTAAAAAAAAATTCAAAACTAGTAGAAATATCTGTAAAATGGATATTAGGTTTTCACTCAAACTCAAAGGAATCACTTTAAGGATCAAATACAGGTCACTGCAGCTAGTGCCAAAAATTACTACATTGTTCAGTTTTTTCCTGGCACCTACCCTGAACATTTCTCTATTCTGCAGGTTATTTCTGTATTGAAATGCTTGAGGCATCGGCCAACCACCCAACGAATGTTAAAGTAGATTTTTCTGTTAAACAGGATTTTCCCCTTATTTTTAAACTTGGCACTGTTTGTAGTCTTTTCTTTTTTAGTATGTGTTACATTTTATTTATTCATTTTGTAATTCTTATAAGATATTTTTCTTTGAAATATCCAAAGTTCAAACTGAAGTAGGTCCAAACCTTTGTAGTGCTAAAGCAGGGCCTTAGCTGTACATTTGCCAGCATCCTCTGACTTCTTGATCAGCATATCGGTATCAGTCAATCATTTTAATATATATGTCATGTTTGTTTTCTGATAAGCTTGACACTGATTTAACAGTAATTCAGAAGTTTTACTGCTGTTTGTTTTCCAGATAAGAAAAAGAATGGATTGCGTTCAGGCTCAGAAGTGATGCCAGTGCACCACATTCATGTGCCAGAGAGAAAACACAGCAAGCTGGCGGCTCTGGGCAGGATATTCAAACCCTGGAAGTGGAAGAGAAAGAAAAAGAGCGAGAAGATAGAGAAGACTGCAGTTGGTGAGTGTTGTAGTTTTTACTGTAAGCTGTATTGTATGGTATTGTACAGGGGCGGATCCAGAGATATTTTCTGACAGTCTCTAAATGATCTTTGTTGATTCATCCTTCATTTTTGGCCCTCTTTTGACAGAAAAAATTAGATTCCTGTCAATGTGAACTACAAAAATTCTGACCGTCTTCCCAAAGACCCAGAAAACGCCCTCCATCCTCCCCTGTTGTATTGGTCAAAGTCCCCCTTCCATTTTCTAAAACAAAATCAATTTTGGTAGAATTCTGCTCCTTGCACCTGTCCAAAATTAGAGGAAAGACTCCCTTACGTGACTTTTTTTTTTTTTTTTGGGGGGGGGGGGGGATTTATCTTGGATCTGCCATGATTTTTCTTTTGTCATGTAATTAACAAGGTATTAATTACTGAAAAAGAAAAAGGCTCACAGTCAAAAATAAAGGGGGAGGGAGACTTATCTAACTGCACATTTCCAAATGTTCAAACCTTCCATTCCAGATCTAGAAAGAAAGATATCTGTGCGTGCTACCAGGGAAGAATTGATTCAGAGAGGGGTGTTGAAAGATGTACCAGATGAGGCACAGACTGTTACTATAGGTGAGTATGTGGCATTTAGCAATACAGCAGTGATTGAAACAAACAGCAATATAATGCAGAAATGATGTTGTTGCTTTATTATATCTCCAGATTCTCACAGATTTAGACAAATATTACATGGTTCAACATTGTTTTTTCATTAAAGTATTCCTAGATTTGGAAAAATGTTACGTGGTTCAACATCATTTCTTCAGTTAAGTTCATAGATTTGGTTGTGGGTTAAGGCTGAAAAAATAATTCTTATAGTGTGATAATCTTGGCAGCTTGCAGCTATTCAGAATGGAATAAACTAGGACTGTCTCCATAACACTTCACTAGATGTAATTTTCCTGAATACTGAACTGTAGATAATCTTACAATGAGTAGGGAGGACACATTCACTTAATTGGTAACAGGATATAGATTTTCATGTTGAAAGTGACCGTTGGTACTGCATGAGGATAACAGTGGTACTGTTGAGTTCAATTTTCATTTATTTCAGAAATAGTGATTATGAGTCACAACATTGGACTAGTATGTATGTGGAAAGGAAAAAATTGTATTAATAACTGAAATGTTAAAAAAGCAAAAGTGATTTTTTTTACAATTAAATGGCCAAAGGCTCTGGAAAGAATTAACAGAAAGATACTGAAACAAAATTATTTTGATCTTTCAAGATGCTAAGACATTTGTGTGGTTGCATTGATTTCTTAAAATGCATAATCTCAGTACAGTATATATTACTATATACATAGAAAGTTCATGAATTTGCCATGAATTGTTTTTGTGTAGTGTAGTACACCATATTTAAATTGATATAAAGTTTTGTCACAAAAAAAATATACTTTTTCATGTACAGTTAACAGAAGTAACGTAAGCAGTTAATTAACTTGAAAAAATGAAAGGTGATTAACTTTACCTGCTGACTTAAAAATGAATTTGAGATATAGTAGGTCAGCAATTGAAATAAAATGGGATAAAAGACTTTAAAATTGCTTACATAAAGTAAAATAAAAATTAAAATGAGAAGCCAACAAAAATGTCCAACAGTATGGAAAAGATTGTTAAGGGGAAAAGTAAATGAGCGACTTGATGCTATGCTTATGATGACAAATACATAAACCATTTCCCACTATTTGTGTGGAATTAATGCATAAAAACATTTCATCTGTGCAGCTAAACCCATTTTGATTTTTATCCTTAAGATTGTCATATTTCAAAAAAAAAAAAAAATTTTTTTTTAATCTGATCACTATACTACACATACAGTTGCATTGCAACTCTGTTGCAACAATTGTTTGTCAAGATTATGTTTTCTAAGCCAACAAGTTACAGTCTGACAGCACAATAAATTGTTCTCAAGGCTGTCAGCTGAAATCTCAGGCGCAGTTGTTTCCCTGCTAATTAAACTTGAAGGACAAACACGAGACTCATACACAAAACCCTCCTCTCCAGCTAGATCCTGGAATTTGAAAACTATCCTCTTAATATGAGGATGACTCCCTCAAAGGTATTTGTGTAGCACACTAACCATAGGTATTGATGTTTTAAGCAGTGAAGGGTTAACCCGCCAAGTATTAATAGCCAGTCCTTAAGGAAAGGCCGTGGTGGAGAGGAGTGTGGCGCTACTACGCTGGTGGAATAAGCTTTCACATTTACTGGACGAGATTAACCCGATCTTCCCCTGTTGTTATATTACTGGAGAGTCAGTGGGACCCCTGAAATGGGCAAGATGGAGGTGCTGCTGTCGTGACCTACTTTCTCATTCAGTGCATAGTTGAATACAATGGTCCTATTCACGCTGAGCCCAGCAATGGGGACTTGTTTTTACACAACCGCCATGTTAACCTGATGCACTTGGGGAGAGGAATTATTAGACTGCAAACAACTACAGTGTGTGTGTGTTAAAACCTGGGGAGGATTACTTAAAGGAGGAGAGATCAGCTGGGGAGAGAGACGATGGGCTCTGCTTGTTTATCTAAAGGTAAAATCACAGCCAGATATATATATATGATGACTTAAAGCTGAGCATACTGGTACACCATGATATATCCTCCCTATGCAAATATGCATGACTAGTACACCATTGACTTATTAGAAACAGGAAGTGAATAGGATAGTTATGACTTGAGGGTGTTGGTTTTATTACATCCTTGGAAAATTGTTACTAGTTCTTGGCATTTTGTTAAGTGTGGCTCATTTTGTTCTGTTATTCATTAAGGGAAATAACACACTTGAAACCTGTAAAATTAGAACATGTCCAATGATGGTTAATGAACTTGAACTAAATTGTGAGCAGCTGCAATATTCTAGGATTTCTAAGTGAAAGAGAAAGAGAAAGACGGGGGAGGGGGGATTTAACAAGTGCCTTAGTCATGAAATCATTGCATTCTACTTCATGTGGTCTCATGTAGATTGTGATATTATCAGTAATCTCTATGGATGAATATTGATAACATTTAGAGATATACTGAAATACATAATCATTTCATACACATCCTTCAGAAACACATTTATAGATAATGTTTATTTACTTGTTATTATTTTTTTATAAATCCATGATATATGTGAAAAATTATTTCATAATCAAACTTCAGTAAAAACGTGAGTCTTCTACATTTGATAACAGTAGGTCCCCAGGCTTAAATTTGAGGTTGGGGAATAGTGTTTTACAGAAAAAAATTGCATTTTTAATTATACTTGGTATCTTGTAACTCCAGGGGCATATCGTATCGTTTGTTAGGCATTGTGAATAGCACTTTCGCTTCACGTTATTTGCAATCGACCTGAGATGTTCTATAGACTGCATTTGGGTTCATTGCCAACTTGCTGAAAAGAGTAGGTTAAAGCAATTTTACCACTATACTATAGTTCTGGTTATCTTCTCGAGTCTAAGGAGATTTCCCATTCGCTTTTGGCTTGAATCTAAAATGTCTCAGATCTCAAGAGATTTCCTAATCACTTTAGGCTGATAGGTCAGCATGGGAAGTGCAAATATTACTTTGTAATTAGAATTCAGGGGTAGAAGAGCCAAGGTAAAGTAAATAAATCTGACCATTCAAACTTTTTATTTTTACTCTAAAAAAGAATATTTCCATGTTTGAAAATTCAGCGCAAAAAGAGTCCCATCCCCTTTGGTCTTTTCTTTCAAAATTTGCATCACATGCACATGTATAGATTGAAACATATTGGCCTTAAGAGGTGCACTTGACACAAGCTATGTTTTGATCAATTTTTAAAACACAGTGATGAGAGTATGCTCTGAATAAGCAATGATAATTCCATGTCCTCGCTTATGGATGGCTGCAGGGGAGCTTTACAAAGCTGGATTAACCTATCTTCATTGTAGACACACCTTAAGGTTAAGATTGTTCAGTGTCCCGCCAAGGAGCATCATATTGTTAACAATAAGACCATTAGTATCAGGCCACAAAATAAGGAAGTAGCAATGGAAAACATAGGCTCAATCTTTATTACTAAATTCTACTTGGATATTGTTAAATGGTCAGTGTAATATAAACATTTGTATGCATTAAATCTGCATATAAGTTCTGTTTACACATCAGTATCTGCTTTAATGATTGCTGTGATGTGAGGTTTGAAATATCGCATTAGACTATTTGGCAGTAGACCAAGGACAGCTGTGTTGTGAGCACATGACAGACAGATTGCTGGTCTAGGATCAAAAATAAAAAAAAAAACTTTGTCTGACAGTATGTATATAGACTTGTATATATAATTGAAGGGAGCCATGGTATGTCTTACCTTTTTTTTCTGCTCTAGTAGTTAATGCTGGGTTATGTACTGGGGTATACTTATGTAAACAACTTGCACTTAAACATACCCCTTCCATACCCATCATGATCTGCTTATTTAAGTATGGGGGACAGTTTATACTACTGACTAGAGAATATACATATATATATACATACATACATACATACATGCAAATCAACTAATATATAAAAATATTAAGTCAAACAAAGTTAGTTGTTGGACAGTGTACAGCATTCCAGCATTCGAAATAGGTATATGAGTTATTATTCCAACAAGCTGTCACTGACCTTTTCAGGCAAGTGATGCTCATATAATTGATATGCAAAAATAAAGACATAAAAAAGAAAGTAGAAACAGGACAGTTTTGCATATTAGTAGATCCATCTTTGAAGTGGGAATATTTAAGTAATTAAGCACGTCCAATGACTAATGATAAACAACATTCTTTTATCTGGAAAATGATAAAAATAAATAAATGATGACTCATTCAGATATGGAATAATGGGACAGGCATGTCCGCGTGTATACCAAAATCTCACAGGTGTGACGCCCACTTCAGTAGAGAGCAATTATTTGGGAGGAGTTGTTAATCATTCTCTTTCCTGGTTCCCAGGTTTTGTTTGCACCAATAAGTGAACTGGTGTTTATTCTCATAATTATCATCCTGCAAAACAGAATTTTTGTATTCAAAGTATGTGGCTTGCCCTGGGGTTCTTTCTGTTGAGACAAAGTAATTTTACAAAACATGATTAACCTGAAATTAATATTTTCAATGTAGCAATGAAAAAGGTCATCTTGGCACTTAAGGGACCACCTAGATGGTGGACAAATGATGAACAGGCAAGTTATCTCCGTGACATTATGAGAAAGCCTTGTGCAATTTTTTGAAAAATAAATGATGTAAAAGAATTACGAAGGCAGATTTGATTTGTGTGTGCTCTACATTTGGATTGGATAACAAACTTATTGATCAGCAAATTGTCTTTTAAAATACTATACCCCAAGTAAGATGCTGCACTAAATATGTCAATAGAACATAAAAATGCATACACGTGACCTTGTGCTAGTATGATTTGTGTAATGTTTAGTTGAGATATATATCAAAACCATTATGAGCTAATGTTCTCTGACAGCCATAGTCCTGTGAGCTTGAAATATATGAGCTGAAAATTGAGAACAGGTTGCAGTGTAGATAATGAGGAATGTAATATGTCTTTTTAATAGGCAAATCAGCTGAATTAGACCATAACACACTAATGTGTTATTATTGCAAAGAAATATTATTACAGAAATGGTTTGGGTACTGTTCTGTTTGCAGTGTAGCTAAGCTTGATGGTGAGGTGTTAATATAGAGCTGGCCTTTCTTTAAGAAGGTGTGTACAATGGGTGTTTTATAACCTTTGATAATTGTGAAATGTTTGGAACATAGTTATAGATGGTCTGGTGACTTTTAGAATCCTTTTCACTTTGGGCGTGCAAGATGACCTATCTGATTAAATCCAGGAGTGCGAGTTAAAGGTAGTGAAAGGCAATAATGCTATCTTTTTCACCCATTAAGTGACCCCTGCATGTAACATATCAAACTTACTTCACAAATTATTTTGTATTCTGAGATACACAGATAGACAGCAGTGATGCTTGGTAGATGTGTGCATTTTCGATGCCTAAGCCCGATGCCTGCTTAACTCACACACACACACACAGATGTTCTAAACCAAATAAGATATTGAGCCTGATAGCTTCTGTTAGCTTTCACTAAAATGAGTCTTGGATTCAGTTTCCAGTTTGTCAAAACATGCCCCATTAAACAAACTGGAATTATGTATGCAATTTTGTTGATGTTCTTACCTAGCTTGAAACTCATATAAATAGGTTGATAGGAGATCTGATTTTGAAATGTCAGTACAATTAAGATGGGGTTGTTATGTAATGACAAATTGGAAACTTTCTTTTTTAGAAAGTTCTTAATTTCACAACTATTGCGGGTGGCTATCTAAGATATGTCAGGTGCCTCATTCCCATACTTTTATTTGTCCATTATTCTCAGGGAAATAGATCTTCACAGTCCATTTCATCAAGCAAATTTGGGAAGCAATTTCCCCTAATGTCAATTTGAAAAAGAGAGAGAGAGAGAATACTCTAGGTTAGATATTGGTCATTGATATTTAGTGACCATAGGAAAAAATGTCACTAAACAGACACTTAATGCAAACTTAATGAACAAACTGAAAAATTTCCTATTTGCATGCTGCCTGTTTCATATCAACAAATTATATCTGATAGGGAATCGTGTGCATGACACTGATGTGACATTTTAATGATGATACTTGTTTTGTGTTTACAGTCACAGATATTACAATGGTACCCAAATCATGCTAATTATGTAAAAATCGATCAATAGCTGCCTTCCAATTTATCATACATGTGAAGTGTTTATGTTATATATGTTCTGTTGCTGTTGTCAATATAAACTGTTTTTGTAAATTAACTCATAACTTCAGGGATGAAGTTTGTCTGACTATTTGCAGATTTTCAACTTTTTGGGGACCCAAAAATACTATTGGCCTGGGCAACCGCCTGGACCCCACTCCATATTTTCCAAATTTTCTCCAAATGGCAGTCTCTGTAACTTTTACATTTACTTTCAGAGAAAAAGGATGAAGAGGACGGTGCCCCACCTCAGGGGAAAGGAGACGGGCTAAATTGTATAAACTCAGACACAGGAGATGGTGCTGTACCAGTACATACAGAGGACCATGTAGGAAATAAAGTTTTACCAGTAGAAACGAATGGGACGTTAGTGGGGAGTGACCCCCCTGGGTCCTCCCCCAGCGTAATAACTACACAGGCAGAGGTGGTACAGACGAACCCTCCAACAGATAGAACTATTGTGTGTGAGTATATGTATATTCTAGGGTCTGCTGGAATGATATGGAAAATCACGTCCAGATCATCATCATCATTATCATCATGGAGTGCCATGTCGATAGGCGTCGGCAACCATGTGCCTCCATTTTTCTGTGTCTGAAGTAATTTTTAGGGTTTCCTTGACTGTCATTGTCCCGACCCAGGTTATGCCATCCAGATAGCAACTAAATATTTGTACTGCAATTCACAGAGCTAGATAGATCCCATTGTGGTTTTCATGGTCTGTGTTATCTCGAGATTGTGTAAATCTATGTAATTATTTGTGTTGAAAAATTGGAACAACTGCAAATCCATTGTGGTTTTTGTCTTGGCTGTTATGCAGGCCTTTTTCAAGATAGTAAAAACAGGGATGCCAAATGGGGGGGGGGGGGGATTTTTAACAACATTTTTTCATTGTAATTTGGCATTATAATCTATACTTTTAGCATTGTTTCCAATATTCCAAAATATCACTGCTGTTTTATAGATATGATTTTGAAACCTCTTACACATGTCAGGACTTGTATTAGGAGAAACCAAAACTGTTATACTAACACCTTTCTCGTTTAAAAAATACGTCTACCATCTATACAGATAAAACCCTACACGTTTTAGCAAAAATTATTATAATCTGTTACTGGTGCATTCATTCTTGCCTACTGTTTTTGATTTTAGTATGCACCTCCCAGATTCACCCTGTCCTGATGGACGTTCCTGCCAGCTCGCCCACCTCGCCTGCCACTGCTGTCCAGTCACCAGGGGGAGACACAGCGCCAGCGCCACCTGTCCAGGTGTTTGTCATGCCTTCTCATGTGCAACAGCCAGAGTCACCGTCAGATCACAGTGAGTAGGACTGCTTGTTTTCAAACTGTACTGTATTCTTCTCTGTATTGGTAAATATTCATGAAAATTAGATCCATCAGGCCTGTAACCAGCAATTTCAAAAAAAAAGGGGGGGGGGGTCTTTTTTCCTGGAAAAAATAGACCTTTTTGCCTAATGGCTTAGAACCTAGACTGAGTTATCATTCTGAGTGGGCCTTTCCCCCTGACATAAAAGAAGTCCATCTGTGTTACTTTTGGAATCCTGTTGACAATTTCATCTTAAACTCATCTAAACTTTCTGTCATCTGAAGCTGTTGGCAATCTCTACTAACTTTATGGTTTTATGTAAGCAAGTAAGTACTTCTGATGTTAAGAAAAGAAGTATGGATCTAAGGGTGTGTTAATCTGTTAACCTGATTTCATTAAGCGAGAGTTCTCTGGACTAATACTGTTATACCTAAAACAAAGTTGCATCCACTTACAAAGCCCTCTGCAGGACTCTTCATGGATCACAGTCTAGATCACTTGAGTGATGAAGGTTTGTGATTGAAAGGTGATACATTGTGATAGGTTGAACATTGTAAATGAGAAGTTAAATCAAGAAAATTTGAAAAATCAGTTCTTTTTACTTCTATTGATTTTTTTATGGTTACAACAATGACGGTAATTTTGGATTTCAGTTGTGTCTGTCAATCTTGCAGGTGTGCTGTAGGCAAGCAGCAGCTCTTTCTGTGCTCTTTTTTTTTTTTTCGGCATTGCTTTAAAAAAGGCCTAAGTAGTTTTCAGCAAAGTGTTTTACCTGTTTTTCAAGAAAGATGTTAGAGNATTTTTTTTTATAAATCTATGATATATCATATGTTAAAATTATTTCATAATCAAACTTCAGAAAAAACGTGAGTCTTCTACATTTGATAACAGTAGGTCCCCAGGCTTAAATTTGAGGTTGGGGAATAGTGTTTTACGAAAAAAAATGCATTTTTAATTATACTTGGTATTTTGTAACTCTAGGGGCATTGTATCGTTTGTTAGGCATTGTGAATAGCACTTTTGCTTCACATTATTTGCAATCGACCTGAGATGTTCTATAGACTGCATTTGGGTTCATTGCCAACTTGCTGAAAAGAGTAGGTTAAAGCAATTTTACCACTATACTATAGTTCTGGTTATCTTCTCGAGTCTAAGGAGATTTCCCATTCGCTTTTGGCTTGAATCTAAAATGTCTCAGATCTCAAGAGATTTCCTAATCACTTTAGGCTGATAGGTCAGCATGGGAAGTGCAAATATTACTTTGTAATTAGAATTCAGGGGTAGAAGAGCCAAGGTAAAGTAAACAAATCTGAGCATTCAAACTTTTTTATTTTTACTTTAAAAAAGAATATTTTCATGTTTGAAAACTCAGCGCAAAAAGAATCCCATCCCCTTTGGTCTTTTCTTTTAAAATTTTCATCACATGCACATGTATAGATTGAAACATATTGGCCTTAAGAGGTGCACTTGACACAAGCTATGTTTTGATCAATTTTTAAAACACAGTGATGAGAGTATGCTCTGAATAAGCAATGATAATTCCATGTCCTCGCTTATGGATGGCTGCAGGGGAGCTTTACAAAGCTGGATTAACCTATCTTCATTGTAGACACACCTTAAGGTTAAGATTGTTCAGTGTCCCGCCAAGGAGCATCATATTGTTAACAATAAGACCATTAGTATCAGGCCACAAAATAAGGAAGTAGCAATGGAAAACATAGGCTCAATCTTTATTACTAAATTCTACTTGGATATTGTTAAATGGTCAGTGTAATATAAACATTTGTATGCATTAAATCTGCATATAAGTTCTGTTTACACATCGGTATCTGCTTTAATGATTGCTGTGATGTGAGGTTTGAAATATCGCATTAGACTATTTGGCAGTAGACCAAGGACAGCTGTGTTGTGAGCACATGACAGACAGATTGCTGGTCTAGGATCAAAAATAAAAAAAACTTTGTCTGACAGTATGTATATAGACTTGTATATATATAGTTGAAGGGAGCCATGGTATGTCTTACCTTTTTTTTCTGCTCTAATAGTTAATGCTAGGTTATGTACTGGGGTATACTTATGTAAACAACTTGCACTTAAACATACCCCTTCCATACTCATCATGATCTGCTATGGGGGACAGTTTATACTACTGACTAGAGAATATATATATATATATATATATATATATATATATATATATATATATATATATATATATATATATATATATATATATATATATATACATACATACATACATACATACATACATACATACATGCAAATCAACTAATATATAAAAATATTAAGTCAAACAAAGTTAGTTGTTGGACAGTGTACAGCATTCCAGCATTCGAAATAGGTATATGAGTTATTATTCCAACAAGCTGTCGATGACCTTTTCAGGCAAGTGATGCTCATATAATTGATATGCAAAAATAAAGACATAAAAAAGAAAGTAGAAACAGGACAGTTTTGCATATTAGTAGATCCATCTTTGAAGTGGGAATATTTAAGTAATTAAGCACGTCCAATGACTAATGATAAACAACATTCTTTTATCTGGAAAATGATAAAAATAAATAAATGATGACTCATTCAGATATGGAATAATGGGACAGGCATGTCCGCGTGTATACCAAAATCTCACAGGTGTGACGCCCACTTCAGTAGAGAGCAATTATTTGGGAGGAGTTGTTAATCATTCTCTTTCCTGGTTCCCAGGTTTTGTTTGCACCAATAAGTGAACTGGTGTTTATTCTCATAATTATCATCCTGCAAAACAGAATTTTTGTATTCAAAGTATGTGGCTTGCCCCAGGGTTCTTTCTGTTGAGACAAAGTAATTTTACAAAACATGATTAACCTGAAATTAATATTTTCAATGTAGCAATGAAAAAGGTCATCTTGGCACTTAAGGGACCACCTAGATGGTGGACAAATGATGAACAGGCAAGTTATCTCCATGACATTATGAGAAAGCCTTGTGCAATTTTTTGAAAAATAAATGATATAAAAGAATTGCGAAGGCAGATTTGATTTACTTGTGCTCAACATTTAGATTAAATAACAAACTTATTGATCAGCAGATTGTCTTTTAAAATACTATACCCCAAGTAAGATGCTGCACTAAATATGTCAATAGAACACAAAAATGCATACACGTGACCTTGTGCTAGTATGATTTGTGTAATGTTTAGTTGAGATATATATCAAAACCATTATGAGCTAATGTTCTCTGACAGCCATAGTCCTGCGAGCTTGAAATATATGAGCTGAAAATTGAGAACAGGTTGCAGTGTAGATAATCAGGAATGTAATATGTCTTTTTAATAGGCAAATCAGCTGAATTAGACCGTAACACACTAATGTGTTATTATTGCAAAGAAATATTATAACAGAAATGGTTTGGGTACTGTTCTGTTTGCAATGTAGCTAAGCTTGATGGTGAGGTGTTAATATAGAGCTGGCCTTTCTTTAAGAAGGTGTGTACAATGGGTGTTTTATAACCTTTGATAATTGTGAAATGTTTGGAACATAGTTATAGATGGTCTGGTGACTTTTAGAATCCTTTTCACTTTGGGCGTGCAAGATGACCTATCTGATTAAATCCAGGAGTGCGAGTTAAAGGTAGTGAAAGGCAATAATGCTATCTTTTTCACCCATTAAGTGACCCCTGCATGTAACATACCAAACTTACTTCACAAATTATTTTGTATTCTGAGATTCACAGAGAGACAGCAGTGATGCTTGGTAGATGTGTGCATTTTCAATGCCTAAGCCCGATGCCTGCTTAACACACACACACACACACAGATGTTCTAAACCAAATAAGACATTGAGCCTGATAGCTTCTGTTAGCTTTCACGAAAATGAGTCTCGGATTCAGTTTCCAGTTTGTCAAAACATGCCCCATTAAACAAACTGGAATTATGTATGCAATTTTGTTGATGTTCTTACCTAGCTTGAAACTCATATAAATAGGTTGATAGGAGATCTGATTTTGAAATGTCAGTACAATTAAGATGAGGTTGTTATGTAATGACAAATTGGAAACTTTCTTTTTTAGAAAGTTCTTAATTTCACAACTATTGCGGGTGGCTATCTAAGATATGTCAGGTGCCTCATTCCCATACTTTTATTTGTCCATTATTCTCAGGGAAATAGATCTTCACAGTCCATTTCATCAAGCAAAGTTGGGAAGCAATTTCCCCTAATGTCAGTTTGAAAAAGAGAGGGAGAGAGAATGTACTTTAGGTTAGGTATTGGTCATTGATATTTAGTGACCATTGGAAAAAATGTCATTAAACAGACACTTAATGCAAACTTGATGAACAAACTGAAAAATTTCCTATTTGCATGCTGCCTGTTTCATATCAACAAATTATATCTGATAGGGAATCGTGTGCATGACACTGATGTGACATTTTAATGATGATACTTGTTTTGTGTTTACAGTCACAGATATTACAACGGTACCCAAATCATGCTAATTATGTAAAAATCGATCAGTAGCTGCCTTCCAATTTATCATACATGTGAAGTGTTTATGTTATATATGTTCTGTTGCTGTTGTCAATATAAACTGAATTTGTAAATTAACTCATAACTTCAGGGATGAGATTTTTCTGACTATTTGCAGATTTTCAACTTTTTGGGAGCCAAAAATACTATTGGCCTAGTCATCCGCCTGGACCCCACTCCATATTTTCCAAATTTTCTCCAAATGGCAGTCTCTGTAACTTTTACATTTACTTTACTTTCAGAGAAAAAGGATGAAGAGGACGGTGCCCCACCTCAGGAGAAAGGAGACGGGCTAAATTGTATAAACTCAGACACAGGAGATGGTGCTGTACCAGTACATACAGAGGACCATGTAGGAAATAAAGTTTTACCAGTAGAAACGAATGGGACGTTAGTGGGGAGTGACCCCCCCGGGTCCTCCCCCAGCGTAATAACTACACAGGCAGAGGTGGTACAGACGAACCCTCCAAC